TCTCCTCCGCCTCCTCCTCCTCCTCCTCCTCACTTCAGTTGAGTTTAATAACAGTTGCTTTGACATGGGGTTTTTGCTCCAGTTTGGCATCCAAGCTGCCATGGTTTGATTTTTCACATCCACAGGATGCACCCTAATTGTCCATTTACTGGGGTTTCTCCTGTTTTGCGGCAATCTTTCTCAATCTAATCTGAACTGATCTTTTTGGAAAGATCACAGTTAAAGAGCTTTTGCATGCCATGTGGATGGGAAGGTACTCTTTTTTGAAGCTCTTGCCCACGTCTGTGCCTCCTTCCTTGCCTCAGCTCCCCCCCCCCCCGCCCTTTCCCCCTACATCACCAGATTGTTTATTTGGGGTGGTTTCTTCTTCTTTTAAATCTGCACCTCCTTCACAAAAAGGAGCACCCCTTGTATCTCTACAAAAAGCCTAGATACTTCTTTAAAAATGAAAGCTGGGAATTCAGAAGAACTGGCAGATGCTGGCAAGAGATCTAATATTTTTTTTTAAAGCCCTAAAAAGTCTTCCAGTGGTGCAGGGAGGGGGAATGGTAGCTGGAGGGGGCCGGGGCAAAGAAAATGTTGGGAAACCTGCTCTGTGGGTATGAAAAATTAGCGAAACAGACAGTTTCACAACAGCAATATAGGAAAGCAAAAAACAAATCAAGGAATATATGTAGACCCCATTGTAGGAAATGTGGGTGGAACAGAGGTTTTTTTACTCCAAATTCAGGTTTGTACTACGAAGCCATTATAAGGATAGTATTTATTGATTTCATTTCTGCCATCAAGTTGCGGCAGACTTGTTATGTATTGATACGGACATGTCTGGACATAAATAATAATAATAAAATAATAATCTTTCAATTTATTGATCGCTCAATCCTGCAGAGCTTGCTGACTCTGAGCGATTTAACAGTTACTCATTTTTACGAGGGACTAACAATGATTTGTGGGGTAAGGGAGGACAACATATATACATCTTAAATCACACACATTCGCAGCCGACGAGGTTTTTTTCGTTCAGTCGAAGATGAGACGTGATCCGGTCAGCATTCCTCGGCCTGGTTTGATGGTGTCAGCTTTTCTCCCGACTCCTTCGAGTTGTAGCACCGCACTGCCACCGCCTGGCCGGAATGGCCCATTACAGGCTTTCTTCATGCTGAGGAGATCTCTCTAGGCTACTCCAATCTTGCGAGCTGGACTTCCGTCCGTCGGCTAATACCGCTCCACCCCATGAGGGGTGTGTGCCCACTCTCTCTCTAAGGAATGGTACCCATTTTATCTACTTGCCGAAGCTTTCGAACCGCTGGGTAGACAGCGAGCTGGGGACAAGACTGGTAGCTCACACCAGCACGGGGCTAGAACTGACAGCAAGCCTGTTCAGCTCAGATGTTACTATTATAACCAGAGGATAAATCCTCTGTGCCACCGCTCCCCTGTAGTGCTAAGGAAGCCATGCGGTTTAGCGCACCTCCAGGATTTCGAACAATAGCCGACCCGGATCCTAGTGGGGACCAATAGGTTTGCCCGGATCCTAAAGCTGTCCTGTGATGGACTCTAATACTGTAAATAGCCAATCACGGGAGTGTGTGTTGGGTGTTGTGTGCTGCACGGATAAAAGCAGGGTTTGAACCTGGCTAGTTTGTCTTTAGTTGAGCTGAACTTCACTAATAAATATGAGCTGATCACTTGCTATGCGTCTGAACCCAGTACATTATAAGACTTATAATGACTCCTGTAGGATTTCCTAGGCAAGAGGTAGGGGAAGGAGATTGGTGGAACAATGAGGTGGGAGGTACTACTATTGTGTCCTCCCTCACTTCCTGAGAGCTTTTAGAGGGGCAGTCACCATCTTGGGTGATGAGCTGCCAGGTGTTTGGCAAAGTATCTCAGGTGGAAAATATGGAATGTATTGAGGTTTCGGTGCTGGTTAGAAGGCATGGCAGGTAATCGCAAGCCTTTTTTAATAGGTAACAGTTGAAAAGCCTGTCTCTGTGCTTACAATACTCGGCCTCTGAATTTGGGTTTTCCTTTTCCTTGAAAGCTAATTTAATAAAAGGCCAATGGGACTAAACATCTAAGGGAACATGTGTAGGGTTGTGCCTTTGCAAGCAGAAATCAAACAACATTAGCTTTTTCAAGAGGGTATTTGCCAATTAAATATATATCTGTCTTCCAGTGTCTTCTAAGCGGTTTACTGAAACCACTGTTGGTGAACCTGTTATATTTACTAATATCACTCATGTGCATGAAGGAAGTGAAACAAAGAAACAGGTATGTAATAAAACATTCCAGTGAGAATTAAGCTCCCTTTCAGATAAGAAGAAGAAAAGTTGGTTTTATACCCCTCTCTTCACTACCTGAAGAAGTCTCAGAGCGCCTCCCCTTCCTCTCCCCACAACAGACACCCTATGAGGTAGGTGGGCTGAGAGGCCTCTGAGAGAACTGTGACTGACCCAAGGTCACCCAACTGGCTTCATGTGGAGGAGTGGGGAATTAAACCTGGTTCTCCAAATCACAGTCCGCCACTCTTAACCAGTATACCAAGCTGGCATGGATCCCCAGTTTCTCCTCCAAGAAGAATTAGGGTTTTTTTAGATCCTGCTGCTAGAAGCAACATCAAGAAAGAATCCTCTGTTTCATCTCTAAAGAGATATTTCTTATTGTATGAGTTGCAAGATAACATTATTATTAAGGTGCAGCATAACCTTTCATGCTCTGACCTGGACAGCCCAGACTAGCCCAATCTCATCAGATCTCGGAAGGTAAGAGGGGTCGGCCCTAGCTAGTATTTGGAAGGGAGACCTCCAAGGAATACCAGGGTGTGATACAGAGGCAGGCAGTGGCAAACCACCTCAGACCTTCTCTTATCTTGAAAATCCTATGGAGTCCCCATAAGTCAGCTGTAGCTTCGTGGCAAAACAACAACAAAACAACCTTCCACCACCTTTGCCATTTGTCCATGTGAACCAGAGGCAACTAGATTTTCATCTTTTCCTCAGCTGAATTCCTTTCTGTGGGCTCACATTGGCTCTGAATCAGCATGACAGTCACTCCTTAAACTACAACATCTGGAAAAGTCCTGTCTATGGAAGCAACCCTAACTACATGGGGAATGGGGCTGCAGAAAAAAAAAACACCTGTATCCAGTGTTCCCTCTAAGCTGAGTTAGTGTGAGCCAGCTCACAGTTTTTTAGCCTCCGGCTCACACATTTTTGTCTTCGCTCAGGAAGGATGGCTCCAGAGCAAACTAAATGATGCAGCGGCCAAATCGCTGGCTCACAGCTTTCATGCCAGTAGCTCACAAAGTAGGATTTCTGCTCACAAGACTCCACAGCTTAGAAGGAACATTGCCTGTATCCCCCCAAGTAATATATTCATATCTCTTACAGCAATGTCTCCAACAGGCGATTGCCAAAGAGAACAGGCATGTCTTCTCAGAAAAAGAGGGCTTAAGGATTTGTGAGAAACCTAAGTGCCTTTGGAAAGGTATGGTTAGTGATGTGCGCTTGAAAAAATATCAGTATGTTTATTTTTTGAATTCTGATTTTTTGGGGACCATTATTCCCTATGGGGGGACGCTTTCCAGAGTGCTCTAGTCACTGTTTTTCAAGAGAACTGCACAATCCTTGTAAGGAACTTAGTTCTGCCTGTCCATTAAAGATCCCCCAAAGTTTTAAATAAATTGGATCAAGGGGACCAGTTCTATGAGCCCCTGAAAATGGTACCACCAGCCATCCTATTTGTCTGCATTGTTCCCTGTGTGTGTGGGGGGGAATCCATGCTTTCCTCTAGGGCAAAGAAGCCTATAAGAGTCAACCACATAGGAGCAACCACTGGCCAAAAGCCTCCGAATGCAAACAAAATCAATAGAACCAATGTGAAGCCACAGAATCCTAGCAGAAACACGGATCATTGTGGCAAGCTAAGCGTAACCAATGGCAAACCTGAGAATTCAAGCCAAACCAACTTAAGCAAGGAACACAGTTGCAAGTCCAGCAGAACCAATGTCAAACCACAGAAGCCAAGCAGAACTGCAAGCAGCAGCAAGAATCCAAGTTACAGACTAGACTAGAGCAGCAACGGCAAGCACTACACACCGCCAGGACTCCAAAAAATTTAGCCCCTCAAAGAACTCTTAACAGTTAGTGAGACAAGATCTTCCCTTACAGAATACATGGTGATTCTTTCTCAATAGCTTTTGTTCATCAATGTGCCTACTAATTCTATCTTTAATAATGGATTCCACCAACTTACCAGGTAGCAGTGTTAGACTGACCGGCCTGTAACTTCTTGGATCACCTCTGGAACCTCTTTTAAAGATGGTGGTTACATTACCTACCTTCCAGTCCTTGGGAATGGAGACAGATTTTAGTGATAGATTGAATATTCTTGTCAGGATATCCCCGAATTCACATTTGAGTTCTTTCAGAACTCTTGGATGTATGCCATCTGGGCCTGATGTTTTGTCAGTTTTTAATTTGTCCATCTTGTCACCTCCATCAGAATCAGATCTTTCAAAACCCCTCCTGAAATCAGCAGTTCTGGAGTGGGCAAGCACCTCCCATCTTTCACAGTGAAGACAGCGGCAAAAAATGCATTCAGCTTCTCTGCCATTTCCCTATCATCCTTTAGTAATCCTTTTACCCCTTGGTCATCCAAGGATCCCACTGCCTGCCTGACTGGTTTATTGCTACTAATATAGCAGGAACCTTTTAAAATTATTAGTCTTTATGTTTTTTGCAATATATTTTTGCCTGTCTGATCACCGACTTGCATTTTATTTGCGAAAACCTGTGCTCCGTTTTATTTACCTCATTTGGGCTAGCCTTCCACCACTTAAAGGTATCCTTCTTATCTTTTACTGTTTCCATTACTTTGGCTGTGGTCACATGGAGCATTAGCCACGCTACAGAGATGGAAGATAGGTGGATTTTCCGGGTGCGATCACACCACAGCATCTGGGAAGCGTAGAGCTCCTGTGGCAAACCCGAGGCTTCCCGCTGAAGATGCGGAGTTAAAAACTAGTACCTGGCCCTGGTCACTTGGGTCACGGGGGGGGAGGGGAGGCGTGGTTAATTGCCCTGGCGCAGTTTAATCCGTGATTACGCGATCCGACGCACCGGCGGCACACCACGGGTCCTTCCCACGGCGCTGGCGGGTAAACGAGGGTGGTGATCATACGACGATCCTGCAGCGCGGCAAAGAAGCGGCGACTCGTATCGTGTAATTGCAGATCAAACTGCGCCGGGGCAATTAGCCACGCCTCCCCCCCACGATATCCGGTCCGTGTGACCGGGGCCGTAGTTTGTTAACCATGCAGGCCTTTTAAAATATCTTTCCTAACCTGTGTTTTACATTTTATCTGAGCTTCCAGTATTGTGGTTTTATATAGTCTCCAAGCTTCCTGATTTAACCCCCTTACCTTTCCTTTCAGTTTCTTCTTCACAATCCCCCTCATTTGAAGAAGAAGAAGAAGAAGAACAGGAGATTGGATTTATACCCCGCCATTCACTACCCAAGGGAGCCTCAGAGCGGCTTACAAAATCCTTCCCCTCCCTACAACAGACACCCTTTGAGGTAGGTGGGGCTGAGAGAGCTCTGACAGAAACTGCTCTTTTTCAAGAACAGCTGTGCTAGAACTATGGCTTACCCAAGGTCACCCAGCAGGTACAAGTGGAGGAGTGGGGAATCAAAGCCGGTTCTCCCAGATTAGAGTCCGCGCACTTAATCACTATACCAAACATACAAACTGAGAGAAGTTACCCCTTCTAAAGTGAAATGTGGTTGTGTTGGTCTTTTTGGACAGTTCCCTATTTACATAAATGTTAAATTAATAGCATTATGGTCACTGTTTCCAACTGGTGTCATTACATTTACATCTCTCAGCAGGTCTTGGTAGGTTCACTGACCATCTGCTCCATGGCAGTCAGTGAGAATATCTAGACTCTGCATTTCATTTTTAAAGCGGTCTTGATGCCGTCTTTCTTTATACTGGTGTGATGCTTTTTTCAAAGTGGTACCAACAAATCTGCTATTTTTTTCTGCTTGCTGGCTGGGAATGTTGTTGTTCTCCTCCCTCTTCTCTAGCACGCCCGCCAGGCGTTTGCAGGCACCCATTAGCTTTACACAAGGCAATAAATTACTTAAGGCAACAAGCCAACAAGCCATAAACTTCTCTTTACATTCAAAGAGAAGGATTTTCTCAGCTTTCAGTTTTGCCCAGCTTTTGGTTTAAACAATAAAGCAAAAATGGACAAAAAACCTGTAAAGACTGGGTGTTTAGTTTGCAGAATGTATGTATGTATGTATGTAGAAGGGATCTTTCTCTAACTTTTCAGGCAATATAAAAATCACAAAACAAAATAAAATCATTCACTCTTAGCTTGTCAAGCAAGGGAAAAGTTTCTTACATTCCTCTATGTGCTGTCAGAAGGTAAACAGAGCAGATAAGCCTCCGATTAGCACTTGGGGGGGGGGGCTTAGAGTGCTTTTAAGCACATCCATTTGAGCCGGAGAGAAGCCACAATCATGACGGAGCCGAAACCATAGGGCAACAAAATAATGCAGACAGCAGAAACTATAACAGTGCAGTAGGAGAGCGAAACCTAAAGAGATGTGGACATCTTTTTTGGAGACGGAGCGAAAGTGTAGCCGAAGCAGTGGAAAATGCCAATGCAGATTCCACCCCAATCTCTTTCTTATGACTGTAACACATATCAACCCAATCAATGTGTGGGTAGAAAGAAATCACCTATTACAACACAATTATTTCATTTACCTGCTTTCCTTCATTCTTCTGCTGTTTTTAAATCATCCTCTAGCCTTTGATCTGGTGGGTGATAAGAGTTAAGCTTCTGTTTGGGCACACTATTTTCAAGCATAGCGTTTCTGTAAGGGAATCTATTTCTCTTATATTCTCAGTCTTACTGGACTGTATGCCCTCTCTGACATAAAGAGCCACTCCTCCTCTGAACCTTCCCTCCCTATCCTTCCGATATAATTTATATCCAGGAATCATTGTATCCCACTGATTATCTCATCCCACCAAGTTTCTGAAACGCCTACAATGTCTATGTTCTCCTTTGACACGAAGCATTCCAGCTCCCCCATTTTATTTCAGACATTTCTAGCATTTGTATGTAAACATCTATAATTTCCCAGACACATTAGGCCTACAACCTTTCTCATGTGGCATCTAGACATTGTCATGCAGTCAATATTGTTTGTCACCCTCTCTGTGGCCAGTCCTAATCCATTTCCCTCTAGAACAGTAACAGTTACCCCTTCATCTCTTAGAGATGAGCCATCCCGAACCAGAGACATTTCATCTCCTGTCAGCTTTCCCCCAAGACTTAGTTTAAAAACTGCTCTGCCTCCTTTTTGATTTTAAGCTCCAGCACCCTGGTTCCTTCTCGGGAAAAGTGGAAGCTGTCTTCTTTTGTACAGCTCCCTCTTATTCCAAAAAGCATCCCAGTGCCTAATAAACTTAAACCCTTCCTCCCTACTCCATCATCTCATCCACACATTGAGACTCCTAATTTGTGCCTGCCCAGCTGGCCCTACACGTGGAACTGGCAGAACTTCTGAGAAGACTACCTTGGAGGTCCTGACTTTGACTCTCCTGCCTAGCAGCCTAAATTTTTCCTCCAAGACCACATGACTACATTTCCCCATGTGTACCATGACCACTGGCTCCTCCCAAGCACTGTCTACCAGCCTATCTAGACTACGTGTAACGTCTGCTACCTTCGCATCAGGCAGGCAAGTCACTGCACTGTCAGTACGCGGGTTCGCAACCCATCTATCTACCTGCCTAAGGATCGAATCACCTACTACCAAGAGACCCCTTCCCTCCCTGTCCACCCAGGGATGATTTCTTGGTGTGAAAGGATACCTGCTCACCAACTGTAGAAGCGGTCCCTTCTGAGGTAACATTCCCCTTTTCATCAGCACCATGCTCTGTTTGCCCTTGAACCTCATGCTCCCTGACAGTGGTGGGGCTGCCATTCTCAGAGTGGGACACATGTAACAAGTCCCCAAGGGTCTTATCCATGTGCCTAACTGATTGTCTCTGCTTCTGCAGGCCGGCCACCTTGGCCTTGAGGGTGTGAACTTGTTCCCTGAGAACCAGGAGCTCCTTGCACCGAGCACACCCCCATGACTTCCGTCCAGTTGACGGATAGTCATACATGTTACACTCAGTGCAATACACTGGACAGGGTAGGATCCAAAGAAATGTGAAGCTAGTTCCAAAAGACTGAGAGAGTATGTTAGGCCTATTTTTCCCAATTAGCCACTTCAAGACTGACTGTTCTGCTTGTTGTTCCTTGGTCATATGGCCTTTTCCCCCCAGTTAGTCATGATATTATCTTCATAGACTGTGTTAATCAAAGATGTGAAGGGTGGGTGTGATGTGGGAAGCCATTTCCTGGGGCTTCTGCATTTAGGGGGCTCTTTGATGGGAACTTAAACCAACAGCTGCATCTGTTAAGTGGTGGAACTTTTCAAGTGTCTCTTGTGGTTTTGAGGTTCCAGAGATCAGTAAGAAACCTCATGAGACTACAAGATATTGAACCAGTCGAAACAAGAAGCAAACATTCAGACACTTTATAGCCTGTGAAAATGTGAAACGGGACAAAAATTCCTGGCTTTTATTTTTTTAATAGATTTGTACAAAGTGAAGGGAAGACAGCTGAAAGTTTACTGTCATTTAAAATTCTGTGGTCTCAAAACCTGAGCTCTGAGTTTGCATTAAAAATTAAGCTTTGGTGTACATACAATGACAAGAGAAATCATTTAACTCTCAACTAAGCAAAGTGCAGAAGAGCAACGCCATTCTTTTAATGGCTTGGCTTCCACGCTGATGGGATGTTTGCTGACAGAAGGAATCTTCATGAGTGGAATGGGATGTTCTCAGGTCTGAAATGTTCCTCCTGGGGGACAGGGGACAGGAGCAACGTGTGTGTGTGTGTGTGTGTGTAGTTCAAGGTCTACAGCAGGAAGACAAACTTTTATTTTTGTAACTGCTGTTCCTTTTCTGATGATCTTTCTAATCTTTCTACGTTTATCTGTTTTAATCTGTTTTTTGTCTTGAGTATTTATTTTAGAGAGGCAGACTATTAATGCAGCAAGTAGATAAATAAATATCAGGTATGGGACCAGTACTACGGTACTTCCAAAACAGTTCTGATGCTGGAGCAGTAACCGCAGCAGCTTTCATGAATTATCTTCTTGGTGGCTTTTGCAGTTTGTTTGCACACTGGCAGGTGGCTGATTCTGAATGGATAGATGTGGGGTGTACTCTTTGATAAGCAACGGATGGTCAAATGATTCATAGATTTTCATCTTGACAGATAAAATCTCACTCTTGTGGCTTCACAACCCAGGCTGCTTCCTTCACACAGCCTCTGCTCTGCAATCTGTTCGCACTTTTTTTTGCATAATAATCCAATCCATTTATTTTTTTATTGCAATAGATATACCTTGCGCTTACATTTAAAAGTACATATTCACAGTAAAACTCACAATATTGAAATCCATTAAAAAATCCCACCAACTGGTTTCCGTGAAAAGGGGCTCCCGCTATAAAGTTTCCTTGGCTGACCCAAGAACAAGAGGCAGCACACTAAGTATCTGAATTGAACCTTAAACCATTTAGGGAGTGCCTTAAAAGTGAAAACCAGCACTGCACTGAGTAGCAAAAACACCATAGCAACTGGTATAATTGGCTTGTTGTGGCCAGTCTATTTGAGCACCCTGGCTGCCCTATTCTGAGCCGAGTGAAGCTTCCAAACCATCTTCAAAAGCAGCCCCATGTACACCAAGTACAGTAGTCCAACTTGGAAAGCAAGTGGGACTGTGGCACTAAGTTTGCCTTTTGCAGAAAAGGCCACAGCTGCTGAGCCAACCTGACTTGGGAAAAATACACTCCTGGTTACCCCTGTCACCTTATCCAGGGTCAATGAGGCACCAAGAGTACACAAAAATGGCAAGCTTGTTCCTTCAAAGGGTGTACAGACCATCCAATACACGTTGAACCCCTATTTCTGGATTAACTTGATGCTCAACCCACCACACCAATGTTTTATTTCAGTTTATTTACCATTTGTTCACTCTGATCCTGTCCCTTACATCCACCAAGCAGTTCCTGGATTTTGATGGAAGGGAGAGAGAGAGAGTTGAATGTCACCTGCATATTGATGACAACTCACCCCAAATTACTCAATGGTCTCTCCCAGCAGTCTAATGTGCATGTTAAAGAATATAGGAGACAGAACCTTGCAGGATCATCCACTAGAGTTATCAAAGCTGTTTCCGTCGCCGTGACCTGGGCAGAAGCCAGACTGAAAGGTGCTGTGGCTCAGTGGTAAAGCACCCCCTTTCCATGAAGAAGGACCCAGATTCAATCTGGCACAGGTGATGTGAAAGACCTCTATGCTGAACCCTGGACAGCTGCTGCCAGTCAGAGTAGACAATTCTCATGTTGATAGACCAATGACCCGACTCAGCATAAGGCAGCATCAAACGCTTGTGTGAAAGGGATCAAGTTAAAAAATTTTCTCACTGTACGGCCAATGTATTCTCTAACCCTTTGCTCAAAAAGGGCACATTTGGTTCTGGTCTATAGTTATTCAACTTAGCTGGATCCAGAGGGTTTTTTCCCTTTTCTTTTCAGTAAAGGCCTAACAACTGCCTTCTTGGGAAACTGAGGAGCTGTCCCTACTGTCAAGGACATTTGGCATCCATATCCATACACCTTGTTTACAATAATCCAATAATAATCCAACAATCTGGACTTCTCTGGGGGTTAATTTTTCTTGTGCAAGATGTTCCTTTGTTTCTTGTCTTCAATTTTTTTAAAAATAGAAACGACTGAGGCCTCAGTCAGGAATGCTGGTAGGTTTACTACTGCCTGTAAATCTTGGTGCTTACTGCTCTAATGTTCTGTCTTTCACAAACACTGATTATTTTTCAGGATGACATGTTATTTCTTTCCTCAAAAAACAAGACTTGATGCTTAGAAGTCAGGCACCTGTCTTATGGCCATTGGTTTTCATGCTGAAAAGAATAATTCTGTGATGATTTCAGGGGCTTCTCACGGTGGTTCCCACATTCAAATGCATACATCCCTTTTTGCTTGGGATGCATACAGGCGCATCTTCTTGTATAAAGAACAAGTAACATGTAAAGAACATGTAACAGAGGCTTTTTGTACTTTTTGCCAGCTTGGTGTAGTGGTTAAGAGCTGCAGACTCTAATCTGGAGAACCAGGTTTGCTTCCCTGCTACTCTACATGAAGCCAGCTTGGGTCAGTCACAGCTGTCTCAGAACTCTCTCAGCCATGCCTACCTCACAGAGTGTCTGTTGTGGGGAGAGGAAGGGAAGCAATTGTAAGCTGCTCCGAGACTCCATTGGGGAGTGAAGAGCTGGGTATAAAATCAACTCCTCCTCCTCCTCCTCCTCCACCACCACCACCACCACCACCACCACCAGAAACAGCTTCTCAAAGACCTAATGGAATGCCACAGCAGAAGTCCCCCCGGCCTGTGTGCGTAGACCTCCCTTCCTCCATTCTACTGAATAGGACAGCCCTGGGCTCTGAAGAGGAATTTTAGAAGGGATGGGCAATGGATCAGAATGATTAGTCATTTGTATTTTCCTCATTTCAGGTGTGGTTATGAACTTGGCCTGTTCTTTAAACATGGACTTCCCTTTGACCTTTCTGGGGATTGTAAATATGCATTTTAAAAGTATATGATAGCTTATTATGCAGTCTGAGCAAATGAACTTTTCCCCTCTAAATCAAAACTTTCAGGTTGCAAGGATGAAACCAAGACTGAACATGATGCTGACAGCAATTCAGCAGGCACAGAAAAACCTCTGCCCCTGGAGCCAGAAATGAGGTTTCACATCAGTGGTTTACGCAATGACTACTGTAAGTTTGGTTTTGTTTGTTGGCATCAAACGCTACATTTGTATATGAAAATGGACCTTTAAACAGTGCAAGTTCTATCTAGCAAGATACTGCACTAAGAAAATTCCCAGACTTGTTTCTCTACCACTAGAATGAATTGTGCAAATTAGGACCTTTTTTCTGATTAACATGCATAATTTATTTGGGATAGCTGCCTTCTTTTCTCTGTAAGGTTCTTTTTTCAGAGAGGAAGGAAAATTATGATTATTACATTATTGGGCATTTAATAGTATTGGCCCAGCTGGGATAAGTCCAGTTCTAGCGAGTTATTCTTTTATTTATTTCGATTGAACTACTTACATACTTTAGGCATAGAATAGTCCCTAAATGGCTTACATCATAATAAAATCTCAAATACATATGCAATAAAAAGTATTCTCAAATATTCATACTGCTATAATCACAATGAACAAACATATCAACTTCCAGCAATTAAAGAGAAAACAAAGAGCTTTAAAATGGTCTGGGGCCATCATACCTGGCAACCCACCTCTTCTGATGTGTCCCTCCCCTGAAATTTGCATCCTTCAAGCTGAAACCTGCTTGTGGTACCAGGCTCCCTGGGTTATTTGCCTCACATCTACCAGGAAGAGGGCCTTCTTTGTAATGGCCCCGTCCTGGTGGACCAGCGGAAAAAGAAAAAACTGTGACAAATAAACGCTAATAATATATTCAAGGATCAATATACAATAACAAAAAAGGTGAACAATATATTTAGTGTATGTAGACGTTGGTCTCCGGAATGATCTGCCATCCCGACAACGATCTTCCTCTGAACAAAGACGTACACAAAAACTGTCTCTCAACAATTCATTTCTCTTGGTGACGTATCAAAAGTATTACTGTTGATTCACTCCATTATGATACTATGCTTACAGCTAGGTTCTTCAATTGGCTATTACTGCTGAATGCTGGTCTATTGACTGTGCCCATCCTTGTGACTATCCCGTCCTGGTGGAACCAGCTGTCAGACAGTACATGGGCCCTGCAGGACTTATCTAAGTTTTGCAGGGCCTGCAAAGCAGAGCTCTTCCGTTTAGCTTTTCATAAATAGTCAGGTCTATTTATATGGGTTGCCTTTTAGTTGTATTTATGTTTTTAATCGAAGTCTGTTAATATTTTAGCTGTTGTTAGCTGCCTCAAGACTGCTTGGTGGTGAAGGGTGGCATATAAATTTAAACAACAACAACAGTCTAACCATTTAATCTCCTTGCAGTCCAAGGGACTCTCAAGCGTCTTCTCCAGCACCATAATTCAAAAGCATCTATTCTTCAGCGTTCGACCTTCCTTATGGTCCAACTCTTGCAGCCATACATTACTACTGGGAATACCATTGCTTGGACCATACAGACTTTTGTTGGCAGGGTGATGTCTCTGCTTTTTATTATGCTGTCTAGGTTTGCTATCGCTTTCCTCCCAAGGAGCAGGCATCTTTTAGTTTCATGGCTGCAGTCCCTGTCTGTAGTAATTGTATCCCAGGAATATGAAGTCTGTCACTGCTTCCATGACTTCCCCTTCTATTTGCCAAGGAGTGATGAGTTTTTTGATGTTGAGTTTCAAGCCAACTTTTGCACTTTCCTCTTTAATTTTGAGCAAGAGGCTCGTTAGGTCCTCTTCACTTTCTGCCATTAGACTTGCCCTTCTTTGGGATTGGAATGTAAACTGACCTTTTCCAATCCTGTGGCCACTATTGCGTTTTCCAAATTTGCTGGCATATTGAGTGCAGCACTTTAACAGCATCATCTTTTAAGACTTTGAATAGATCAGCTGGGATACCAACACCTCCACTAGCTTTGTTGTTAGTAATGCTTTCTAAGGCCCATTTGACTTCACACTCCAGGATGTCTGGCTCGAGGTCAGTGAGCCCACCATTGTGGTTCTCAAGGACATTTAGATCCTTCTTGTATAGTTCTTCTGTGCATTCTTGCCACCTCCTCCTAATCTCTTCTGCTTCTATTAGGTCCCTACTGTTTTTGTCCTTTATCCTGGCCAGCTTTGCATGGAACGTTCCCTTGATTTCTCCAATTTTCTTGACAAGACCTCTAGTCCTTCCCATTCAACAACAATAATAGCAGAAAGCAAAAAACAAGTCACAGCAATCCTGACAATAAATAAAACCAACCTCTCCCCACATTCAAAATTAATTAACTAATATTTGTTTTTATGAATTGCAAATTTTCGGCCATTTTTTTTAAATGCAAGGGAGTGTGTTAGCAGTGGTGACAGCTAGTTATAATACAAGTCTTCTCTCACTGTAAAGGTCATCATGGTCATTTACTGTTAATGCAGGCTATCTGCTTACTAATAGTGCAGGAAGGACCGGAAGGCTGAAATGTCAGTCTAAGCCCATCTTCTTGAGAATGCCTCCATAGGTTTAAGGACTGGTTTCCTGTATATTCAGAACTAATATCAGGTTCAGCATCAAACTACACAAGCTGAGAATCCATTACTGGATTGATAGACATGTATTTTAGCTGCAAAAAGCATCTCTCTCTCTCTCTCTCTCTCTCTCTCTCTCTCTCTCTCTCTCTCTCTGTGTGTGTGTGTGTGTGTGTGTGTGTGTGTGTAATATGAATTGGGGCCATGGTGCTGGGGATGAAAGAGCTTAATTCTTCCCCCAACCCCATGCTGTTCCCCTAATCGGACCGCCTCCATCTGATTTAAGCTTCACAGCTTCCTTTTTGCAGCTAAAATATACATCTGGGAATCCAGCTATGGTTTAGAGAATGATATGAAGGCATGTGATGCAGCTGTACAGAACTTAAACTAACCTATAAGGTGCCTGAATGGGAAATTACCTTGAAATGCTAAACAAAAGTCACTTTGTATTCCTCAAAAGAAGAGGGAGTTTTCAGTGAAACAAATAAATAAAACCATTCTCCCTTGAACATTCCCCTGCAGTATACAGCAACATATTGTTGTCACTAGGTATGAACAATTCATCATGAGGAATAATAATACAAATTACATTTACAAAAGTAATATATTACATTTGAGAGAGTCATTTTGTCACACTTTAGTCTATATTAATTCATATTATTATGGATATTGTTCTGAAGAGATCACCCGTCAAAACTATGTCTTGCATTGTATAACTCAAAGATTAATTTTGAGTCAATTTCCTCTAGATCTAAACCTATTGGACTGGAGCAACAAGAACCTTATTGCACTTGCGCTGGGGTCTGTTGTATACATTTGGAATGGAGAAACCAATCAAAATGTCAAAAACATAGACTTATGTTCCAGTTGCAAGTATTATGTTGCCTCCATAGCATGGACCAGAGAGAATCCTTGGCTTGCTTTTGCAATGAGTGATGGAGACGTGCAAGTACTGAGTGATACTTTACTTACTTCCATATTATCTATTTCTATAAAGCAACAATAAGTAAAAATAATGCATAATAGAAATTACAAGTTAATTGGAGGTTATTGTAACAGGCCGGATTCACACTCTGGCCTAGCCTAGAATAACCCTAGAAGGGTTACTCTGGCCTAGCCCGGAGTAACCCCGGGGTTACTCTGGCCAGGTGTAGAATAACCTCGGATAACTCTCCCAGTTCTCTGGTCTTTCCGGGCATGCCTTAGGCCGGACAGAGTCTCTTCCTCCAAGAGCTGGGCAGGCCTGATCTGGCCTCTGAGGCCTGCTGGTGCTGGGGATAAGAAGTAATTTAAAAGGGAGACAGGACAGCAGCCCCAGAAAGCAGGCCTGGGGGGTTAATCTGGCCTGGGGGGTTAATCTGGGCCAGCCAGAGTAACCCTTCCGGGGTTATTCTAGGCTGGCAGGGGGGTGAATCCGGCCTGTTAACACCTGGCCAGAGTAACCCCGGGGTTTCTTCGGGCTAGGCCAGAGTAACCCCTCCGGGGTTATTCTAGGCTAGGCCAAAGTAACCCCGGGGTTACTCTGGCCGGGGGGGTGAATCCGGCCTGTTACACCTATGAACATATGAAGCTGCCTTGTACTGAATCAAACCATTGTTCTATTGAGGTCAGTACTGTCCATTCAAACCACCAGTGGCTGTCTGGGGTCTTAGAGGTCTAATTTATAATCTGATCTTTAACTGGGTTTTAGGCAGAGGACTTTTGCATCACTTACTACCTGATATTTGTAACTGGAAATGCTGGAGATTGAACCTGGAGTCTTCTGCATGCCAAGGAGATGCTCTGAGACACAGACTCAGTTAGAGCCAGAAAAATTTGGTTGGTGGGGTGTGGAGAAATCGTGGGGGAGGGCACCCTGGCCACACCTGCTGCTCCTCTTGCAGCAGCAGAAGCAACAGCTCTGACTCCACTGCGACCTCTAGTCCTCCTCTAGTCCTTTCAATTGGAGAGACTCAATTCCAGGCTGCTTTTCTGTGTAAGCTGAGGGGGGGGGGGGATCTCCACTCTCTCTATTTTGCATTTTGTAATTTTATTTTATTGTATTGCATTTTTAAAACCTATTTCTTTTTTGGCCTGGAAAAAAAGGGGGGAAATGAGACTGAAACTTCCACAGCTGTGCCTGTGGTTATTTTGGAACACCTACATGCATCTTACATTTTTAAAAAAATGATTTTTATTTTTTTCCCAGATTTTTTTTTAAAAAAGATTTGTCTGCGGGGGCAGTGTCCCCAAATGCCCCCCCCCCCCGGCTACAGCCCTGGTTATAGCTGCATGAAACAAAGTTGATGTGTGTAGCTAGACATCTGAGAAAGTTTATTGGAAAAGTGTATTTGTGTTATCATCACCAACTAATTAGAAACAAGTGAGCACATCTATGCTTGGCTGCATGAAAGAGGATAATATCAGATGCTTTGTGCTGCATGTCATGATGCATACAGTTCCTATCCAGCAAGGCAATCACATGCTGATTTTATGCATTGACTTCCCTTATGAGATCAACTCACTCATTGCTGGGATGTTGTACTATGAACATCCTAAGAAGAAGACTGATCTAATGTATCAATGACTGTTATAAACACTATCTATTTGTGAGTAAATATTTAGTAACAAAAAGATGTGACTCTCAGTATGTGGAATTGTTCTGAAAATGTGAATATTGTTTTTTCTAATGGTGACATGCTATAGAGGCAAGCAATGGCAAATCACCTCTCTTTGACTCTTGCCTTGAAAGCCCTGTGGGACTGCTACAAGTGAATTGATGATACTTTCTACCACCAACATGATATATTGCTTTACTATTTTTATTATTCATGCACCTCAGCAACAGAGGTTGACATATCAGAGCAAAAAGGCTGGAATTACAGAAATAATCAACTTGGAATAAAATTCAGAACTTGATATGAAATTATTTTGTTTTTGTTTTCTGTCAGCTGTGGGACATTGAAACCCAACAGAAGCTGAGAACTATGTTTGGTCACCTGTCTGTAGTTGGTGCCCTGAGTTGGAATGGTCATATACTTAGCAGGTGAGCAGCAGTTAAATAACATCTGTTACCTTATTTAAACTCTTATGGAATTTGCTAGATTGTGTTCTGTGGACACTTGTGGAAAATACATATGCTTTGTGTGAGGATGTCCCAAAGAGGTATGTCAACTGGCTTGCTTCCTCAGGCCCTCGCCTCAAAGAGGGAGAACCTTCATGCTGAAGAAAAGCAGACAGCGAGGGGCTCTGACAAGTCTGAATTTTCCTCAGTGCTTTAGATCATGAGGGGAGGCTCCTGGCACACACCCGGCCATCCCCTAGTTCCCAGTGGGGGTTCCCCTGCTATCCCCCACCACCGGCCCAGGCGATGTCCCAGATGCGATGACATCACCTGGAAGTGACATCGTGTTGGGGACATGGGGGGGCACTCTAGTTTGGGGGCAAACTCTATGGTTTTGAAGGCATAGAGCATCGCCCCCATTGTCCCCAATGCAATGGCATCACTTCTGGGTGATGTCATCTTGGTGTGCATACTTTGCATATGCACCAGAAGATCCCAGAGAAGAGGCTGAATCCACCCTCTGGCAGCCAGGTAGGAACCTGGCAACCCTGCACTAGGGCCTTAGGCATGGGTTAGGGATGCCAACCTCCACATGGGGCTTGGAAATCCCCTGGTATTACAACTGATCTCCATTCTACAGAGATCTGTTCCCCTGGAGAAAATGGCTGCTTTGGAGGTGAACTCTATGGCATTGTAGCCTGCTGAGGTCCCTCCCCTTCTGAAACCCTGCCTTCGTCTGACTCCACCCTGAAAATCTCCAGTTCATGGGGTCCCAGTTCAAGTAGACTCCATTTCAGCTTTGGTAGCTGATAAGACTAGTCCTCTCTCCAAGGGACATGAGCAGTTTCTTGGGATACCGTGGTGGGAGGGTCACTGCCTAGAGCAAGGGCAGCTGTCCTTCTCCTTGTTTCTCTTCTTTCATTGCTAAGGAAGGAAAGGATTTTTTTCTCCCCAAACTTCTACACACAGTTTAATTTATTTTTGCTGTTTGTGTGTGCGTGTGCCCATGCCTGGAAGCCATGGCGCCCTCTGGCATCTCTTAGTGGGGTACAGAGGACGTTCAGAGAAATGTCTTGATAGTCTGCCTCTGCCTCCCAGCCCTGGTATTATTTGGAGGTCTATAAATTGTCATTCATTGGTGAAAGAAAGGCCCTCTGTACCCACTCAAAGGGGCTTTTTGTTTCAGCACGTAGTCCTGGAGTAGGAGACAAACATCGGCACTAAGATCATGCTCACCTGTGACATTACTACAAAAAGTGTACACATTTCGGGAATTATTTCACATTGAACAGTATTGTCTTCCTTTTGTCCATAGTGGTTCAAGGCTAGGCTATATTCACCATCATGATATTCGAGCAGCTCAGCATCATATTGGAACAGTTCGGCACAGCAAGCAGAGTGTTTGTAGCCTCCAGTGGTCCCCAGACCACAAGCTCTTGGCAAGTGGTTCTAGTGATGGTTTATTGAATATTTGGCCTAACGATCCAGGTGTGACAGTACAGTGTAGGCCACTGATCTCCATTTCTCATTCTTCAGCTGTGAAGGTAAGATGCTGGAAGAACATGTATTGTAAATTATAAACATATGAAGAAGAATAGTTTCAGAGAGTAGCCTGTTGGTCTGCAATAGAATAGCTAGATTCGAGTCCAGTAGAGGCCAACAAGATCTTGTGGGTATAAACTTTTGAGAGTCAAAGTTCCCTTTATCAGATATGAAGATCCTTTCATATGATGAATAGTTCAGAAGAGAGGATGATGTCATGTTAGGATTGAGCAACTGGAAATTGTCTGTTGTTTGACTGGAAATTGTCTGTTTTTCAAAGCAGAAAAGCGGTTTACTTATTTTTTTATCTATCTTTTCTTCCCTTCGTGTCTATTTCAGCTGTAATAACCTACACCCCAAATTGTTAGTTGTCTGCTGCAATATCCCACTACCAGAAAACTATGATTTTAAAATTCATGATGCTCCTGTTTCTCGTTAGGCAATGATGTGGTGCCCATGGCAATCTGATGTAATTGCCACAGGAGGTGGAATAAAGGACAGAATGTTGCACATCTGGAATGTAAGCAATATGAAAAGCCTTGCAGTGGCAGATACAGGATCTCAGGTAAATCATAACAAGACTGCATTCTTTAGAGGGCACCATGTGCTGAGGTACCCTCTCTTATCTGACTCGGTGTTTCCAGATGGTGGCGCTAGGGGACTGCTTCTCAGCCTCATGGTGTTTATGTTGTGAGGTTCTGCAGGTTGTACATGCAAGCAACTGGTGGGAGAATTCATCTGGGGGTTAAAAAAATTACCTAAGCAAAAGCAAGGGTTTTGTTTTTACTTTGTTCTTGTGCAGTGTAGAAGAAAATGGATTTGCATTCCATATTTATGTTTCTATTAGAGCAGTGGTCTTCAACTCATGGGTTGGAACCCTCAGGTAAGTCCCAGAACCCCCCTGCTGGATCATGAGCCTCTCAACAGCTAGTGCGCATGTGTCCTGCCTCTGTCTTTGGGTGCACACGGAGAGAAGCAGGAAGACAAAGTGAGGTGATGTCCTGTAACACTGGAGAGGATTCTTCTTAACAGAGGCAGATTCAGAGACTGCCCTCCTTTCTGCAAAAACTCTCCATTGCCTTCTTTGTCTTCCCTTAACCCCTCTTGTCCCCTCACCCCACCAGTCATCCCTCTTACATTCTGTGGGGACTTGCAGGACATTGTCCCTCTCCCTGCTGATGAGCTTATAACCCTGGATCTGCTTCTTCTCATCATGTGACTCTTAGGGTTTCCAGGCAACTGATGGGAAGGTTATGGAGGGGCAGTGCCTTGGGAAAACAATTAAAAAGTGAAATACGGCCTTGTCTAGGATTGCCAAGCCCCAGGTCTGAGTGGGGTTCCCCCCACTTTAATGGACCCCTTTCCACTGGTGGCTAGCTGGCCGGCAGGGGGAAACCCCACCCACAAATGCCCCCAAATACAACATAATGGCATCACCCAGAAGTGACATCATCAGGTCGCAGACGTCGGGAGTAACACTCTTGTTTTGGGGCAAAGCTTTATGGTAAAATTGGTCTCAAACCATAAAGCATTGCCCAAAAATTAGAGTGTCGCCCCTGACATTGGCGATGTGAAGATGTCACTTCTGGGTGACTTTGACCATGAGCCAGAAGATCCTGGGATGGACTCTGGAGCCCCCCACTGGCAGCCAGGTAAGATCTGGCAATCCTAGCCTCATCTACTTACAGGACGTTCTGACTATAGAGTTCCTGGTGATTCCTAGAGCTACCATTGACACTTTCTGTAAGTGGATGAGGTTTTATATTTATTTTTCACTTTGATCCCAGGACAATTACCCCCTCCAGCCCCAGTTTCCATCTGCTGATTGGGTGAGCTTTGGCGGGCAAAAGTCTCAATTACCTGAAGGTCTCCCACCATAAGAAGGGAAATGGGAACCCTGTGTGACTTCCTGTCAAGTGCTTGCAGCTCAGTGAGTTCTGTGCTGTCCTCTGAGAATCAAAGATGGATCCCAGGTCTAGAAATGCTGGAGACCACTGTCTTAGTGCAAATCGATAATTTTTATTGACCTTTTAAAAATCGTAGTACAGGTTGGTTATATTTACATGTTGGCTTATAGAAGATAAAGGAATAATAGCCATTTGAAATGTGTTTTGTATGTTTTTAGCCTGTTAGCCACCTTGCTGGTCTTGATCAAGACAGAAAGGTGGGCTATAAATTTTGCAAATAAATAATAAAAATTTTTTTTAGCTATAGGCAGTAGCCTTAGTTGTTCATCTCAAATGACAGAATCTGAAGCTACTGCCTATATGCCATGGTAACTTTTTATAAATCCAGGACAAACTATACCTTAGGTCCACTATGTTACTCTATTCTACTGTGTTTCAACTATCGATGCAGAGAATTTAATTTTAAACTTTATTTTGGTCCAAAATCAGCCAAAATATATTTTTCATTCTACGAAAATGAAACCAGCTTCTGAAAAATTATTCCAGATATGTTCCCTGCTCTGGTTACCCAACACCAAAGAATTAATCACTGGAGAAGGCTATCCTTGGAATAAGATGACTCTCTGGAGATATCCCATGCTTTCAAATACAGCAGAACTTTGCGGTAAGCATGTTGATAGCCACAAACGGTTTGATCTAATTTCATGTTTGCTCAGTGTCTTCGTCATAGGTGTAGTGAGTATGTTTTCAGTTTTGTTTTAGGTATTCTAGGGAGGTATTCTTGCAGCTGAATGGGCTCTTACATTAACCACAGAAGTAAGAAAGCTAATGTTTCATTGATCGTTGGAAGAGGAAAAAAAGAGCAATGAGATATTTTTACTTCTCTCCTAAACCGCTGGTGGATTTAAGATTATTGAACGATATCAGCATGTACATTTCAAACTTGCTAAAAGGAAAATATTTTTTATTTTGGGAGTTCGGCATATAGAATATTCCAGTTACAGCAGGACACTAGAAAATTATTTATAGTACAATCCTAAAGAGAGTCAGTAAAGGTTTCCCTTGCTTGAAAGCCAGTCAAATCTGACTCTAGGGATGTTGTGATGCTCATCTCTGTTTCCAAGCCGAAGAGCCAGCGCTGTCCAAAGACGTTTCCGTGGTCATGTGGCCGGCATGACTAGACACCGAGGCACACAGAACGCTGTTACCTTCCCACTGAATTGGTACCTATTTATCTACTTGCAATTTCTTGCTTTCAAACTGCTAGGTTGGCAGGAGCTGGAACTAGAGATGGGAGCTTACTCCATCATGCGGCACTCAGGTCTTGAACTGCTGAACTACTGACCTTCCGATCTGCAGTTCAGCATCTTAACCACTTGAGCCACCGCAGCCTTAAAGAGAGTTACACCTTTCTAAATATACTGAAATCAATTGGCTTAGCAGGGTGTAACTCTGTTTCGGATTGATTCAGGTGGGTAGCTGTGTTGGTCTGAAGCAACAGAACAAAGTTTGAGTCCAGTGGCACCTTTAAGACCAACAAAAGTTTCATTCTGGGAATAAGTTTTCGTGTGCATTCACACTTCTTTAGATACCCTGGTGGAGGGTGGAAGGAAACTGCTGCGGCGGGGAGAGGATCAGGCAAAAAGGCTGCCAGGTAGGCAGGCAAATCCAGGTTTCCCAACACACACAACAGTCATCTAGGCTGTACTAAAATCATTCTCCAAACTTCAGAGGGAGGCAGGTTGGAGAAAAGCCAGGGAAAACCTTGGAGGTGCAGAAAGGTACCATGACATTGTGGGGGTACCGACATTGTGGGGGCATTGAACCCAGGCAGACAACCCATATAGAAATGGCCTTTCAGTGTCATTTTATGGTAGTGTAATTTGACATATAATGATTGTATGATTACATGCATTCATTTCGATGAAGTAGAAAATACGTTTTCTTTTTTTCTCAGATTGTACAAGATATTGCAGAGGTGGGTGGGATGCATGTATATTTTAATACTCTCATGTAAAATAGATCCTTGCACAACCAGGGGTGGGGGGGAAGTATGTCAGGGCAATCGTTTGGATGAATTCTTCATATTGGCATGCCAGTTTATCTACCTGTAACTACATTTTTGCATTCAAATGTGGAGCTCTCCTTCTCCTACGGGCTGAAATAGTAACATTTTTTTAAAAAGGATTTATTACATGACTTAGCTAAATGTGTTAATTGAGCCAGGGCACTGCTTCATGTATGAGAAACACAGAGGTGTGAAACAGCCAGTGAAAGTGAAACCTAAATTTTCTTGATTTTTTTTAAAAAAGGCATCTCCCCACAGAAGAAAGATACGTTGGTCTTGTAATTTTCAACTTTTTTTTTTTTAGTCATGGGAAAAGATAAAGAACCACAATTTGCTTTTGTGGAAAGTTAGTTCATGTCAGTTGTAGAGTGGAGGGGGGGAAATGTCAGTGGTAGTGGTCATGATTCAAAGGGTTGTGTATGACTCAAGCTACCTTAGTTCCCAAAGCAGTTTTCCACACAGATGGGCAGGCCACTCCAGAAATATAGAGGATCTTTGTGGAAAAGCTCCACCATAGTGTATGGGAATGTGGGCAGAAAGTTCAGTCCAGGAGGAAGCTCTTGCCAGTGACCTTCTGGGTTTGATTTTTTTAAAATTGCAGCCTCTCTCATGTAGGGGTTATTAAAATGCCTTTCTCAGTTGTAGCTCTCCAGGGGAAGCCTTAATGGAGGGCTCCCCAACTTTTAAAGCCTGAAGCACCTTTGGAATTCTGACATAATGTGTTCGGCACAGCAACAAAATGGCTGCCACAAAATGGCTGCAGTAGGAGTCACAGTCAGCCACTTTCAGTCACACAGTGAAGAGCCTTGTGCTATGCTGGTAGATGCTGCTAAAGTAACATTTTTAATAATCAAATCTCCAATGGCCAATCAAATGCCTTTCTTGGCCAAAGCCCTACCCACATCCAAGGAAGAAGAATAATAAGAAGAGATTGGATCTATACCCCGCTGTTCACTACCCAAAGGAGTCTCAGAGTGGCTTACAATCTCCTTTCTCTTCCCCTCCCCATGACAGACACCCCGTGAGGTAGGTAGGACTGAGAGAACTGTTCGAGAACAGCTTGTGAGAGAACAGCTCTGAGAGAACTTATGACTGACCTAAAGTCACACCAGTAGTTGCATGTGGAGGAGTGGGGAATCAAACCCAGTTCTCCCAGATTAGAGTCCACACTCCTAACCACTACACCAAACTGACAGTCTTTTAAAAATCTAGATTTCATTTTCACTGGCTGTTTCACACCTCTGTGTTTCTCATACATGAAGCAGTGCCCTGGCTCAACACAGTTAGCCAAATCATGTAATAAATCTTCCTGGTGGGCACCAGGAATGGTGTTGGCAGGTGCCATGGCACCCATGGGCACCATGTTGTGGACCCCTGCCTTAATGGATGGGTTTGGGAGGAAGCCTACAAAAATCCAGGAAGATGAAGCCACCATGTGAATGCTAAAACATACTTTCACAGGCTGTTGTGCTCCAGACGTATACTGTATCCACCTGTGCTGTGCTTATTGCTGACTAGGCCGTAATGAACACAAGCTTTGAAAATGGCAATGTTTTACAGTTTATCCACGCTTCATGTTTGATATTTTATATGGATATCCTCTCTTTAACTATAGATCACAAAGGAAGAGTTTTGCATATGTCTCTGAGTCCAGAAGGAAATAGGATCTTTTCTGCTGGAGCTGATGGCACAGGATATGTGTGGAAGTACAGAAGGATGAAACCAAACACAACGTACTTCCAGGAAGACAATTGTTTCAATTAATGCCGACGTTTCCTCTCTATTCACTCTTAAGTCAAGTTCAGGCATCGTTGGACTTGGGAAACCCAAGTTAATATTTCCCCTTGACCTGTTTGGCCCAGGCTAGCTCAATTTCTTCAGATCTCAGAAGCTAAGTAGTGTCAGCCCTGGTTAGTATTGGGATGGACCACCAAGGAAGTGCTCTAGAGGGGCAGGCAATGGCAAACCACCATCTCTTGCTTTGAAACCCCTATGTGGTTGCCAGAGCCGGCTGTGACTTGACAGCACTTTCCACCACCATAAAGCGTTACTTTTCACTTTATTGTGTCTTTCTGCTTGACCTACCTCACAGGGCTGTTGTGAGACTGATAACACCTCTCAGAATTAAATAAATAATGAATGTTTTGTACTAAGAGGAAAAAATGCAGCCTGCTTATAGGTAGCCTAGGAAAGATAGTACAGACTTTTAACCAATAAACACTTTTTTTTTTAATTAGCTGAAAGCTAGATTTGGGTCCCCAAACTTGAATTTGTTTTGATTGCAGTGAAACTAGGATTTCACATACCAGTTGTCAGGTTAAATTCAATCTACAGGGAAATGTAGCCCCCCAAATCCCTATTCGCAAAGGTGTAAAACAGGGTTGCATCCTTGCCCCTTCACTTTTTAATTTGTTTCTAAATGACCTGCCTCCATCATTGTTCGAAACTGATGGACATGTTCCCAAAATTGGCCAACGCCATATCCCAGTTCTTTTATATGCAGATGATGCCATTTTACTCTCATGTTCTCGAATCGGACTGAGGCGTCTTTTACACCAATGCTTGACCTACTGTAACAACAACAGGTTAACTTTGAATTATAGGAAAACAAAGATCCTAGTTTTTCCCAAATCCTGGAAACAGTTCACATGGACAATCCAGGGAAATCCCATTGAGCAGGTCGGTCAAATCATTTAAATACTTGGGGATCAATTTCTACTACAATGGGAGCTGGGTTACTCACCGCAAATGTGCTATTTCTCTAGCAAGAAACAGTGCAGAGGCCATCGCCCGCTTTTCCACTTGAGAGGCCTTAAAAGCCTTCAATGCAAAATCTAGTTCACAATTTCTATATGGCGCTCCCATTTGGATAAGCACAATTAACCAATCAGCAGAGGGTTTACAATCCCTTTTTTTGCAGAAAACCCTTGGACTCCCTAATTGTGTCCCATACGCTGCGATCTGTCTTGAAACCGGCCAGATGCTGCTGGAAACTTGGGCTTGGCTTCTGACCATCAAATTCTGGCTGCACCTTCTGTTTAATCCTGAACCGAATTCCTTTACCTTTTTAATGCTGACAGATCATTATGAATCTAATTGGATGAAATTAGTAAAAAAAAAAAAAGGTCCTTAGGAATACATCTAGACCCGCTTTACTTATCATCTGCCTCCACAATATTTTATACAATTAAACACAGGCTTCTAGATATTCAATTTCAGTGCCTGACTGAGGCAGCCAGGAAAACCTGTTCCCCAGTTCATCTGGGATTATCTCACACACTGGGCCAGACGGATACTTATTTTTGTTCTCTAACTGATCACTATCAAAAAAGGGCATTTATATTAGCCAGATTTAACGTATTGCCATTGGCCATCTTCTCTGGAAGATGCCAAAAAATCCCCTATGAATTTAGGCAATTCCCCTGCAGTCAGGGTGCTATCGAATCCGTTCCCCATGTTTTTTTAAACTGACCATTTTATACTAAGACTCGAGAAAAATTTCTGGACACCCTTCTTTTTACATGCCGTGGTTTTCCTGAGAGTGTCAAGGTCCAGTTGCTACTCTCTGGGCAAAACGCCTCTATAAATTTTAATGTTGATTGTTTTCTTCAATCTGTAATTCGAACCAGGGAAACTATTAATTGATCAGTTCTTTTTTGTTGGCTGTTCGACAGCCATACTTCTAATGTATTCCTAAATTTTAATGTAATCATATCTCTTACATGCCAATAAAGGTTGTCTGTCTGTCTGTCACTCCCAATCCTTCTGAAATGGTATTCTGAGTTCTATACTGCCTAGCACCTTAGGTTACATAAGGGCACAGGCATGTGAAAGAAAGAGATATGATTTTCTTTTCAGAGACAGCATCAAGGCATTCTCCCTGGGAAACAGATATCCATCCATCTGAAAACTTTATCTATTCTTCTAAACTGGAGAAGAGATGAAGTGGCTTAGAGTCAAAATGTGTATTTCAGAGTGGAAAACATCTTTTCCAAAAGATAAGAACAATAGTTAGCTCTATCTAAAAGAGGTTCTTTTAGCCCATTGTCACAAGCTTGCTGTTGCTCATGTACCGTTAACCACATACTCCAAATATATGCATATATCCAAATTATATGCATCTCTAACACAGAGAGCCAGTTTGGTGTCATGCTTAAGTGTGTGGACTCTAATCTGGAAGAACTGGGTTTGATTCTCCACTTCTCCACTTGCAGCTGCTGGATGACCTTGGACAAGCCATTATTCTGTCAGAGCTGTTCTCTCAAGTACAGTTCTGGAAAGAGCTCTCTCAGCCCTACCTCACAGGGTGTCTGTTGTGGGGAGGGGAAGAGAAAGGAGTTTGTAAGCCGCACTGAGATTCTGAGTAAAATCCAATCTCTTTTCTTCTTCTCTTCTATGTTTACCTTGTATGGGTTTGTGCATGCCATTTCATTTTCCACTGACAGGATTTCACCCGCCTACTTGGGTGGCATGTTAGATGTCACTTTTCATGTTTGGTGTGGTGATGACACCTGTGACTAGAAAGGTTGGTTTCTGGGTTTCCTTTGTGGTGCTAATTTAAAGTGGATTTTGGAAAAAAAACAACCAAATAGGCTTTGATGATGAGTACCAAAATAAGTCACAAAGAAGCCGATGTCTAAGAGCAGGAAGTTACTGATTCAGTTTCTATTCTGATAATGAGTGCACTGTTGGTAAGAGCACCATTTTCTCATGATAAAATTCTAAAATGAAGACAATTTGTTTAGTGCATAAAAGTAGAGTTTCCCAGTTTACATCAAGCAGTGTGCTTTCTTGGCTTTTAACTATTCAAGAAATATTGCACAATGCCATAAATGGACCAAGGCTTAAGATGCTTCAAAAGTGTGAAATTCACAGCTGTTATGTAGGCAAATGATTGTGGACAGTATAGAAATGTACAGACAAACTTACAAGTTGCAGGTAGCTGCATTCATCCAAAGCAAATCCAAAAACTAAAGCCATGTAATAATTTGGTTAGGATGTGCCCAAAATGACATGAACTTTCGCCCAAAAACCAGAGCATCACCCCCTGATGTCAGCAATGCGATTTCATTGCACCACTGAAGGAGGGGGCTGTTTGGGGGTGGGGCTTGCCCCAGAAGATCCCAACAAGGACCCAGGAGCCCCCCGCCAGATCAGAGGTTTGGCCTGGCAACCCTGTGTGGTAGGCACTGGGCACAGCCACAAAATGGCTGCTACAAAATAGCTGCTGCAGGAGATTGAGCTGCTGCAGCTTAACTTCAGTCACACAGGGAAGGTGGCAACAGCTGCTAAAATGTTTTTGGAAAAACCTGCAAGCTAATCATATTTCCAGTGGCCAATCAGAAGCCTTGCTGGGTAAAAGCCTCACCTAGCCCTGCCTACTTCCTAGTGAAGCATCCCAAGGTGGTGTGTGTGTGTGTGCCCTTGTCAGTGCTGTATGTTGTGTTCAAATAAATGACAGTACCAAAGAGACTGAAACGCAAGTGCATGTATTGCAGCAGATTATCAAAGACACACAGGTAATCTAACAGGAAGGACCAGATTGGGAATCACTGAGCTTGGGTCCTGGATGAGTGCATTATCCTGTTTGGTGAAAAGGGTTCTAACGGGAATTGCCTTTCCAGTTTTTGCGATAATATCCATCTTTGGCCCTGATCACATGCACAGGTAGCCACGTGAGAGGGACGAATGCCGGGCAAGCGTGGTGCACCCGTCTCCAACCCGTAGCATACCGCCGAAGATCCGAAGTAAAAAAGTAACTGGAAAAGTCTTTTATCCAATGGGTTGCAATGGGCCGCTGATGGACTTCCTTCATGTGATAGCTCCAGCGTGCTCGTCTTGCCTCGTCAGAGCACACCGGAAACACCTACTGATGGGAAAAAATCCACTTCACCGCCGTCGCGTCGGATCATGTAATGGCGGGGCAAATTGTGACGGCACAAAGAGCCACGCCTCCATCCCGTAGTATCTGGCCCGTGTGACCAGGACCTTTGTATTACTTCTGGTGTGCCTGTGTTGTTGCAAATGATGTGCCTAAGAAAGTGCTAAAGTGATGCCCCAAGGAGAGAAGAAGCATATTGCTCTGCAAATGGTCAAAGAGCAACAATCCAAAAACAGTGAGTGTGTGAGAGTTCACTGAATGAACAAGAAGGGGGAGGGGATGAAGGAGAAAATGTGAAGGTCAAGGCCCAGTCATAATTGAATGCTGGAGCAGACAGTAATAGAAATGTATTAGCCATATACTTTTAAGTATCTCTAAGTACCAAGCCTTCCCTTGCTGAGTTAGGGAAGAAAGAATGTTTTTTTAACCCATACTGTACTTAGCTGAGAAGTTAAAATAAGCTTGTCAGCAGTATTTACGCTTTGCTAGCAAATATTTATGCAAGAAATACAGTTTAGTGCAAGACAAATAAATTAGCAAGATTCTTGAAAAGTTTTAAGGAAAAATCTTAGAGGCCTTGAAAGAGGAAGTGGATGACCTTGTCTGGTTTTCATTTGGTGCAGTACAGTTATCAATCAATTTTGCCCATATAAGATATAAGTTTTGCTTTGTTCAAGTGTCAGTGTCTTGGACTCATGTAGAAGAAGAAGAAGAAGAAGAAGAGACTGGATTTATACCCCACCCTTCACTACCCAAAGGTGTCTCAGAGCGGCTTACAAATTCCTTTCCCTTCCCCTCCCCACAACAGACACCCTGTGAGGTAGGTGGGGCTGAGAGAACTCTGACAGAAACTGATCTTTTTTCAAGAACAGCTGTACCAGAA